GAAATCATAAATTGAAATATCACATAATTGAATCATATATTGTGTATGGCTTATACAGTTAACTTAAGATTTGAGACTCTATATTGTGTTAATCCATTCATTCCTTAAGTCTATATCATGGTATGGATATCAATTGATATCATAATTTGATTTTCCATTAACCAGTTGAGGTACATATAGTTTCCTTCCTGCTTTTGGCTCTTATGAATAATATGCTGTAATCATTTGCATACAAGGTACATTTTAATGTGTGTTCTCTTCATACATTGTTGGATTTTCATTTGCTAATATTTTGAGAATTTTTATATCTTGTGTTCATTAGAGATATTAGTAGTTTTATTTATCTAGTTTTGTTGTTAGGATAATAATGGCTTCATAGAATGTTCCCTGTGCTGCTATTTCCTGTAAGTTATTGTAGAGAACTGGTTTAATTTCTTCCTTAAATGTTTGGTAGACTTCACCAGTGAAACTACCTGAGCCCCATGCATTTTTTTTTTTTTTTTTTTTTTTTTAGAAAATTAATTATTGGTTCAATTTCTTTGATAAAGAACTAGTCAGATTACCTATTTTTCATGAGGTTTGGTAGAATGTGTCTTTTAAGGAACTGGTCCATTTCATCTGTTGTCCTCAAGTTCGCTCACTCATTAGTCATCTAGTGAATTTATCTCATATATTGCATTATTTAGTTCTAGAATTTCCATTTGGCTCTTTTTCATTTTCTATTTTTCAGCTGATGTTCTATGCCTTCAATATAGGCATATTTTCATTTTTAAGTATGGTTACAGCTTCTTGGAGTCTTGTCTACTGATTTCAATGTCTGGATTGTCTTAAGGTTGATCTCCATTGATTTCCCCCCCCTTGAAAATGGGGCAAGTTTTTTTGTTTTGTAAAGTAACCTTAATTATATCCTGAATTATTATGATTAGTATATTGAAGAAATCTGGATTCTATTTTCCTCCAGGGAATATTGATTCTTTTTTATATTAGGCACTTAAGTGGACTCAAATATTTTTTCCTGTGGGTGATGGGTCAAATTTCAATTCAGCTCTTAGTATTGGCTTGGTTGCTTCGAGTATTCTCTGCCCTATATAGTTGAGAGATATCAACAATCATTCACAGAATTTGGGGCTTCCCTTCTCTCTCCTTCCCAGGGTATCCTCCCTACATCATTTTCCAGCAGCATTGTTAGCTCTTTTATAGCTTTTTTAGGCCAGCAAACTGAAGGTTTTCCATCAGTTTTAGCTGCCCTATATAGTACAGCCTGGGATTTGCTTTCAGCCTAAAACCCATAGAAATCGGGTCTCCCTGTGTCATTCCCTTCAAAGTGTTGAAACCATCCCAGGATCTACCTTTGTTCATTCTCCAGTGCCTTTGGAGACGCACATGCACGCATCATGCTTGTATACGTTGAGAAACAAACATAAATATCTAAAATATACAAATATATATTTAATATTTGGCCTTGAGGCTAGTTGCCATCTGTTGGAATTTTGGTGCAATGGGAACTACTTGTTTATATCACAAGTGGAACTCCCTGTTTCAAAGCACATTTAACATATTTCCATCATTCTTATCTCACTCTTCAGTTACTCGTTCACAATTCTATCCTAGCAAGCAACGAACCTCTAAAGCAGCGCTTCCCATAGGTCATGACAACTCATGAGATGCTTCAGAGATTAACTTGTTACAGCAGTTGATCACTTTCCAAAGTCTGAAATTATTTTAACACCAGGAGTGTTGGCATCATTATTATATTTTTTATTTTTATTGAGACAGTCTCACTCTGTTGCCCGTGCTAGAGTGCTGTGGCATCAGCCTAGCTCGCAGCAACCTCAAACTCCTGGGCTCAAACGATCCTCCTGCCTCAGCCTCCCGAGTAGCTGGGACTACAGGCATGCACCACCATGCCTGGCTAATTTTTTCTATATATTTTTAGTTGGCCAATTTCTTTCTATTTTTGGTAGAGACGGGTTCTCACTCTTGCTCAGGCTAGTCTTGAACTCCTGACCTTGAGTGACCCCCCAGCATCTTATTGTACCAGAAAACAAGGGTTGATACTGATGATAGACAGGCTGGTGGGTTGGGGGGAGAAGCTCTTATAACTCTTCTAATAGCAGACTATAAATATTTATGCTAATATTTTGCCAATTGGTAATAGAAGGAGTGGAGTAAGAATGTCATCACTTTGAAATCATCATAATAACTCATTCAATCATTGATGAAACACTAAAACTGGTGGGTGAAAGACTAATGAAGCAGTTATATAGTCTCAAAGATAAATCCACAAATTACTTATTAATTTAAAAGGTCAAACAGCAATTTTACAGTAAGGAAACCTGGCAGGCATGTTTGTTGGTCAAAGCTGATATGATCAGTGAAACAAACATCATGTGTTTTTTATTGTGATACACTGAGAAGTATTATTCAGGTTAATACTCAGGCCACAACATTTTACTTGAATCTAAATGTGAGGAATCAACTTCTAATTTAGGGATGTTCTACACAGTAACTAACCTGTACTCTTCAAAAAGGCCCCATTCATGAAGGACAAAGAGTGTAGAACTGATCCAGATTAAAGAGGCCAGGTGCGGTGGCTCACTCCTGTAGTCCTAGCACTTTGGGAGGCCAAGATGGGAGGATTGCTTGAAACCTAGGAGTCCAAGACTAGCATGGACGACACAGCAAGACCCCATCTCTACAAAAAACAAAATAGCCAGGCAGGGTGGCTCACATCTGTAGTCCCAGCTACTAGGGAGGTTGAGGTGGGAGGATCACTTGGGCCCAGTTCAAGGCTGCAGTGAGCTGTGATCATGCCACTGTGCTCCAGCCTGGGTGACATAGTGAGACCACGACTCTACCACACACACACAAAAAGACTAAAGAAACATGACAGTAAAATACAGGGCATAATACATTTTGGATTGGACTGTGAAACAGAAAATGCTATAAACATATCATAGGGCAATTGTGGGATTTGAACAAACTATGAGGAAATATTACTGTATCAATATATGCAACGGTCATAAAAAAGGATTACAAATTATTTTGCGCCCCCTTTGATTGTGGCTAGACTTTTGTGACTGCCTCAACAAACTGAGGCAGAAGTGAGACGTCATAACTTCCAAGGCTAGATTAGAAAAGGCCATAGGAGGCCGGGCGTCGTGGCTGACGCCTGTAATCCTAGCACTCTGGGAGGCCGAAGCGAGGCAGGATGATCACTCTCAAGGTTAGGAGTTCAAGACTAGCCTGAGCAACAGTGAGACCTCGTCTCTACTAAAAATAGAAAATTAGCTGGACAACTAAATATATAGAAAAAATAAGCCGGGCATGGTGGTGCATGCCTGTAGTCCCAGCTACTTGGGAGGCTGAGGCAGGAGGATCGCTGGAGCCAGGAGATTGAGCGTTGCTGTGAGCTAGGCTGATGCCACAGCACTGTAGCCCAGGCACAGAGCAAGCACTGTCTCAAAAAAAAAAAAAAAAGCCATAGGACTTGTGTGGTTTCTCTCAGGATACTGGCTTTGAGCCAACATGCAATGTTCACTATGTGAAGTGACATGCTGCAGGGAAATAAGAGACATGCCTTAGGAACCAAGCTACGGCATTCTCAGTTCAGGTGCCCAGACATGGAATGAACAGGTCTGTGGCATCCATGTTAGAAACCCAGAGGATATATGGGACTACTTTGTTTTATTCTTTTCTGAATGTTTAGAATTCAAAATAAGTTTCAAAACATTTTTAAAACATTATACAAAACGTAAAAAATTATACCTCCTTAAAGGTAACAAGATCATATGCATTACATGTTTCACACACATCACAATCATACAAAATTCTGTCTCTGCCCACTTTTCCAAACATTCTGGGTATCTGCCAGTGCTAATAATCATAAATTGATCTTCTCCCATTTCATTCTGCATAGTATTCCCCTGAATGGATCAGCCACAAAATATTTTGACAGTGAACTAATGAAAGTTAGATTGCTATTACCGACAATGCAACATTCTTTTATGACGTCCATAACACAGGTTACATACCATATAAAGAGAAAGCAATTGAGTAAATTTAGCCGGTGAGGGATTTTTATTTATGCATAGTTTTGTTTCAGTTTTACTGCTTTGGTAAAATTGGTAATAGTCACTGTGTAAATCATTTTTTTTGAAAAATAAAAGAAAAAATCATCCCAATCCTCCCTGCCATAGTAAACCCATTGTTAGTATATTAATGCAAATACTTTTATATACATTATCTCAGTGCCTATAATCACATCTTTAGGTATACGACTTCCATGTGGATCATACTGGGAGGCTCGAGCATAGTTTCCTCATGAGAAATAATTTCCCTGTCACTGTAGATCTCTACCATTTAATGGCTGTTATATTTAAGAATATATCAACTTTATTCAAACATTGACTTTTTTTTGAGACAGAGTCTCACTGTGTGGCTCGACTAGAGTGCCGGTGCATCAGCCTAGCTCACAGCAACCTCAAACTCCTGGGCTCAAGCAATCCTCCTGCCTCAGCCTCCCGAGTAGCTGGGACTACAGGTACCATGCCCGGCTAATTTTTTCCATATATTTTTAGTTGGCCAATTAATTTCTATTTTTAGTAGAGACGGGGTCTTGCTCTTGCTCAGGGTGGTCTTGAACTCCTGAGCTCGAGGGATCCTCCCGTTTCGGTCTCCCAGAGGGCTAGGATTACAGGTGTGAGCCACCGCGCCTGGCCTGCATTTTCTTGTTTGAATTCAGGATAAATTTTTTTTTTTTTTTTTTTTTTTTTTTTTTGAGACAGAGTCTCACTCTGTTGCCCGGGCTAGAGTGCTGTGGCCTCAGTCTAGCTCACAGCAACCTCAAACTCTTGAGCTTAAGCAATCCTCCTGCCTCATCCTCCCGAGTAGCTGGGACTACAGGCATGCGCCACCATGCCCAGCTAACTTTTTTTTTCCTGTTTTTTAGCTATCCAGCTAATTTTTCTATTTTTAGTAGAGACGGAGTCTCGCTCTTGCTCAGGCTGGTCTCGAATTCCTGAGCTCAAACAATCCTCCCGCCTTGCCCTCCCAGAATGCTAGGATTATGTAAGGCCAGGTGAGGGGCACCAAGCCAGGCCCCAGGATAAATATCTTGTATAAAATCTTTTGTTATAATCTGCTAAGCTAAACTTCTAGTGCTTGGATTGTCAGGTCCAAGAGTATTCTGATCTTTTCACCAGCTGATCTACAAAAAGCTCATGTTCACTCACACCAAGAGAAGGGATTGGGCACACAATGCTATGTAAATGGCAGTTGCTTTTAATGATACTTCAAACAAAACTAAATGTTTCTGTCCCTACTCCCATTTTCGGGAGAAGAATATGACGAAATGTGCTTGATATCTGGTAAAGCTCTTTCTAAAGAGGACTAGATGAGGAAGGACTACATATAGAAAAGCAAATTGACCTAAGCCTGCATGAAAATAATGAAAACCCAATCAATTATTAGCAATTCAAGTTTACTAAGAAACTTTTTGTCACGGGTAACTACTTTTAATGCTTTGAGTTACAGTAAAACTCGACCTTAATGAATGCAGGTCCAAAAATCCCAACTGCATAAATTGCAGTGTTGTTATTCATAAAAACAGTATTTTTCAACCCCTCAAGTACAAACTGATACTAAAAATTATACCATACACAATTCATGATAACACTGTACAGAGAAGTGAGGCTGAAGGATGGAAGCCATTCGAAAGTCTCTTGTCCTAATCTGAATCACTGTGGATAGCAGTCATACATGATTTTCTGTACTTTATTTCCTGAAACGGTTAAGGCAGGATTCCTTTTGACTATAAATTAATATATAGTTAGGATAGGGAACTGACTAGAATTTTCAAATATCTCTCATAGGGATTTTATCCATTTTCTTCAGTCCCAGCCAGGCCCTCTTATGAGCCAAGCATAGTTCTACATGGTAGAAATACAGTAGTGAAAAACACCTCCCTACCTGGAGATTACAATTCATTTGACAATTTTGTCAGTCAGTCATATAATTTTGTTAAAGTAAGGCCTCTCTCGGGTAGATTCCAATGAATACGATTCTTCTGTGTTGCATTTTAATAATTGGGATGCTTTGGAACTCTGGCATAAACATTTGACCATACTGACAGAGCAAATAGTTTTCTCTCATCTGTGAGAAGTCTTGATGTTAGTAAAATATTCGCCTGCCAATGGAGTCCTTAAAATGTAGCATCTTAGCTGCTTTTGAAGCTGCTGAGTTCTGAAGGAGCTTTTTGTAATCAACGTGGATTTCCAATGGAGAGGAAGATGTGAACTCTGACAGCTGTTCCATACTTTGTATTTCTACAGATTCCCTCCCGTGTGGACTCTCTGATGGTAGACGAGATGCGATCTCTGACTGAAGCCCTTGCAGCAGACGTCACATATGTAAGGCCTCTCTCCAGTGTGGACTCTCTGGTGGGTGTGAAAATGCGAGGCCTGACTGAAGCCCTTCCCACACTGCTGACACGTGTAGGGTTTCTCTCCTGTGTGGACCCTCTGATGGGCACTGAGGCCAGCGCTCCAGCTGAATTCTTTCCCACACTCCTCACATTTAAATGGTTTCTCTCCAGTGTGAATTATCTGATGGACTTGAAGGTTGGACCTCTGGCTGAAGGCCTTACCACACGTGTCGCATTTGTATGGTTTCTCTCCAGTGTGGACTCTCTGATGGGCTTGAAGATGGGAGGCCTGACTGAATCGCTTCTGACATGCATCACATTTGAATGGTTTTTCCCCCGTGTGGACGCTCTGATGAGCTTGAAGATTTGAGGCCTGACTAAAACCCTTACCACATTCCTCACATTTATAGGGTTTCTCTCCTGTGTGGACTCTTTGATGATTGTGAAGATTCAAGCTCCAGTTAAAGCGCTTCCCACACACTTCACATTTGTATGGTTTTTCTCCCGTGTGGACTCTCTGATGGGCTTGAAAATAGGAGCTTTGACTGAAGCCTTTACCACACACGTTGCATCGAAATGGTTTCTCTCCTGTGTGGACCCTCTGATGGCTCTGGAAACTTGAGGCTGAACTAAAGCCCTTCCCACACTCTTCACACTTATATGGTTTTTCTCCTGTGTGGACTCGTTGATGACTATGAAGATTAAAGCTCAAACTAAAGCACTTACCACACTCGTCACACTTGTATGGCTTTTCTTCAGTGTGGACTCTCTGATGGGTATGAAGATTTGAGCTACAACTAAAGCGTTTACCACAATCCCCACATTTATACGGTTTCTCTCCAGTGTGGATTCTTTCATGGGCCTGAAGATGCGATCTCTGTGTGAAGCCCTTCCCACATACCTCACATTTATAAGGCTTCTCTCCAGTGTGAACTCTGCAGTGAATGTTAAGATCCGTGCTCCGACTGAAGCCCTTCCCACAACTGTCACATCTATAGGGCTTCTCTCCTGTGTGAATAGGCAGATGAGCATAAAGATGTGAGCTCTGATTAAAGCTCTTACCGCATTCATGGCAGGTATAGGGTTTCTCCCCTGTGTGGACTCTCTGATGAGTTTGCAGATTGGAGCTCTGACTGAAACCCTTCCCACATTCATGACACCAGTAGCGTTTTTTTCCTGTGCGAACACTCTGTTGAAAAGGAATACCTGAGCTATAACCGGTATCATTCCCGTGTGTACCACAGGGAGGGGACTTCTTTCCCAAGTGTACCTGCTGGCAAAGTTCAAGACTGGAGCCATCACCGAAGGTTTTTTCACATACATTACCTTGGTAAGTTTTCTGTCCTGTGTGAATACTACGCTGGGTAAGAGGTGATACCTTTAGGATGTCTTTACCGCAGTCACTGTCGCTAAGAGCTTTGTCTCTTTTGTGCACTATGTCATCACCATGGTGGTGTGAGATGCAACTGAAAATGTCAACACATGGAGCAAAAATGCATAGTCTGTTTTTCATCTGAGTCTGCTTACAACTTCTCTGACAATGCTGTGTCTCATTCAGATATATTTCACTCCAAGAATTCTGAACTCTACCAGTTGGAAATTCTTGAGTTTCAATGATATTGGAATGATCCCCTATGAGGTTCCCTAGTCTGCTGTCATCCATAGAAGCCTGAATAGATTCTCCTGCTCCCACTTGACAGGGGGAACCATGGTGCCTGGGGAACTGAGGACTCTTTCCTTGAATATTTTTCATGGAGTCTTGACTTCTGGTTAATTTGCTCACAACATGTCTCTTGATTTGCCAGCAGGAAAGTTCTCCCAGTGAGAGGCACCTTAATCCTGCTTCATGAAGAGTGTCCATCTCATTTTGATTCCTGCCTCCTGAAAGGACAGAGTAAGAAATTAATGACCGAGAGATGGACATCAGCAAGGTGGCAGACTTAAGAAGCTCTAAGCCCTCATTTTCCCCCATGGAAATGTTAATAAAACTACTACAGACTGGCTAAAATAAATTTATGGGAGGCTCTGAAAGAGAATGTTGAATCAAGAAAAAGCCATATTTAAAATGGTAGAAAATCTGGGATTAGCCAGGGTGAGGTGAGGGCTTAAGTTCTTCCCCGATCTTTTCTGAGTCTGTGTGCACTCTTTTCCACTCTCTTGTACACACAGCTACTTCTTAATGTTTTTACTTGTGGCATGGCATGATTTGAAGGAAGCAGTGGCCCAGCTCTCCCTTCCCTCTATCAGAACAAATGGAGTAGAGTAGATTTGACGTGCAATATGCTAACCTGTCTGGGGGCTACATGAGGAACTGGTCTATTTTGTCTGATTCACAGCCAAGATGAGAAAAAGCAATGGAAAGCATCAGTGGGCACTGTTCATGAAATCTGCAAGGACACTATAGACCCCAGAGGCCTAGGGAAAGTGATTATGGCACAGGAATATAATAGAACACATAAGGTGCTAAGAAGCCAATGTGAGACTCTTGGGGAAATTAAGACCTTTTAAAAGCACCTGTATATATAAGGGAATTGGCGCAAACGTGCACTCGGGCAAGATACATGCTCAGAAAAGAACTGGTCTACAAAGACAGTTTTTTCAACAACAAATCCCAAAGCATAGAAAGAAACAACCTATTCAAAGGAACAAAATAAGTCCCCAGAAATCAACCCTAAAGAGGAACAAGCCTCTGACTTGACAAGATTTTTATACAACTATTTTAGATATGCTCAATAAGCTACAGGAGAATACTGACAGACCACTAAATGAAACCAGGAAAATGATGCATGAACAAAATGAGAATATCAACAAGCACAGAAACTATTAAGGAACCAAGAGAAATTCTGAAGCTGAAAAATACAATAGAATTGAAAACTACAAAAGAATCAGCAAACTTGAACATGGGTCATTTGAAAGAATGAAGAAAAGTGAACACACTAAAAGGATTCATGGCTAATCATCAAACAAATGTACACATAAGGGGAGTCTCAGAATAAAGAAAGGAGAAAACTAAAAGAACAACGGTTGATGCTAGCATGCTGTTCAAAAAGGAAAAAAAATTGTTGAAACTCTGAAAATTTGAAATACACAAATACAATCAGCTCAGTGAACTCCAAGTAGGATAAACCCAAAGAGACACATGAAAGCAAGAGAAAAGCAACTCCTCACATACAAGGGGTTCTCATTAAGATGATCAGTGGATCTCTCCAAAAGAAACCTTGCAGGGTCAGAGGGATGCTATATCTAAAGTATAGAAAACAAACAAAAAACCCACCCCAAAACCTGTTAACTGAGAATACCACATCCAGCAAAACTGTGCTTCATAGATGAGAGTGAAAACAGACATTTCCAAATAAAACCTAAGAATTCATTACCACTAGACCTGTCCTACAAGAAATACTAAAGGGGGGCCGGGGACAGTGGCTCACGCCTATAATCCTAGCACTCTGGGAGGCCGAAGTGGGTAGATCACTCAAGGTCAGGAGTTTGAAACCAGCCTGAGCAAGAGTGAGACCACGTCTCTGCTTAAAACAAAAAAAACTGGCCAATTAAAATACATAGGAAAAAATTAGCCGGGCATGGTGCATGCCTGTAGTCCCAGCTACTCAGGAGGTTGAGGCAGGAGGATCACCTGAGCCCAGGAGTCTGAGGTTGCTGTTAGCTAGGCTGACATCATGGCACGCTAGCCCGGGGCAACAGACTTTTTTTTTTTTTTGAGACAAATACTAAAGGGAGTTCAAGTTGAAATGAAAGCACATTACACAGTAACTTGAAGCCATATAAAGATAAAAAGTTCTCCACTAAAGGTAAATCTATGGACAAATATAAAAATCTGCATTATTGTAATTTTGGTTCCTAACTTTTAATCCTGTCATAGATTTATACTTTGTTTCTATCTTAATTTTATATTAATGGTAATATATAATCTAACATCAATATCATAAAGGGGGGGCAGAACTGTAAAAGAGTAGGGTTTTTGTATGCAATTGAAGTTACCGATTTATAACTTTAGGATGCTTTATGTGATCCCATGATAATAAAGAAAACAGCTACAGAAAATACACAATGAGAAGAAAACCAAAATGTGCATTTTAAAAAAGGACTTATGGAGGAAATGAGAAAAATAGTAAGTCCTGCCTTGTAAATGAACTAAATTCCCCAGACAAAAAGCAAAGAGTAGCAGAATGGATTAAAAAAACAAACCAACCAGGATCCAATTATATGCTGTCTATAAGAAATCTAAGACTTTAGATAAAAGGACACACATAGGATGATAGAAGATGGAAGACGACATTCCAATCAATACAAACCAAAAAGCAAGCAGGGGTGAATGTACTAATAGTAGACCAAATAGACTTTAGCCAAAAACTAAGAAGAGCTAACAATTACAAACATATATACAACAAACATCAGAGCTCCTAAATATATCAAACACAGACAAAATTAAAAGGGGAAATGGGCAGCTCTGCAGTAACAGTGAAGACTTTCATACTTTACCTTCAATAAAGGATGGAACCACCAGACAGAAGATCAGAAAGGACACAGGATTTGAATGACACTATATATCACTTGAACTTAACAGCAGAATATACATTTTCTCAAGTGCATGTGGAACGTTCTCCAGAATAGACTTTTTTTTTCTTTTTTGAGACAGAGTCTCACTCTGTTGCCCAGACTAGAGTGCCGTGGTGTCAGCCTAGCTCACAGCAACCTCAAACTCCTGGGCTCAAGCGATCCTCCTGCCTCGGCCTCCTGAGTAGTTGGGACTACAGGCATGTGCCACCATGCCTGGCTAATTTTTCTATAGATTTTTAGTTGGCCAATTAATTTCTATTTTTAGTAGAGACGGGGTCTTGCTCTTGCTCAGCCTGGTTTCGAACTCCTGACTTTGAGCAATCCTCCCAGACTGCTAGGATTACAGGCATGAGCTATCACGCCCAAGAATAGACCTTAAGTTAGGCTACAAAATAACTTTGTATGATTTTGATCATTTAAGGTTTACTAAGTATCTTTTCTGATCACAAACCAAGAAAATGCATAAATATGTGGAAATCAACCAATGTATCAAACATGAAATCACAAGAGAAATTAGAAAATACTGGGGTAAATGAAAACAAATATACAACATACCAAAACCGATGAGTGCTAAGACAGTGCTAAGGGGAAAACTTGTAGCTGTAAATGCTTACATTAATAAAGAAAAAATCTCAACTCAACAACCTAACTTTAAGGCACTGGAAGAAGAATAAACAAAGATTAGTGCAGAGATAAATGAAAGAGATAACAGAAAGTCAAATCAAAGATACAGTTCTTCAAAAAGATCAACAAAATTGACAAACCTTTAGATTACAAAAAAAATTCAAATGACTAAAATCAGAAATGAAAGTGAGGATACTGACTTTACAGAAATAATAAAGCTAAGTGAGGACTGAACTCTGCTCTTTTTCTTTTGCTCAAAACTCCTTCCTAAGGAGGCCAGCTGGGTCAGGCTGACAAACGGTAAATTCCTACTAAGTGGCTTTTGTTAACCAAATGAAGCGGTGGTTTACTTCCCAAGCTGATTCTGGCATGGCATTGACATCACCTAAAAGCACTGCTAGAGACAAAGACAGACATAATAACAAAAGGGTCAATATGAGAAGGTATAATAATTATAAATGTGTCCAATAAAGACTCCAAAATACATGAAGCTGTAACAGAACTAAAGGGAGAAATGAACAAACATACAATCAGAGTTGGAGATTTTAACATCAGTAAAGCCATGCAGGATCTGAACCACAATATTAATCACTTTAACCAAAATGAACCTTATAGAACACTGCACCCAACAGCAGAACACACATTTTCTTCAAATGCACATCAGACAAAACAAAACACTTCCTGGGCTACAAAACAAGTCTCAAATGATTTCAAAAGACTGGAATATTAAATAATATATTCTCTACCCACAATGGAAATAAATTCAAGACCAATAACTGATATCGAGAAAAGTCCTAATTATATGGAAATTACACACTAAATCACCCATGCATCAAACAAGAAACCACATCAGAAATCAGAAAATATTTTGCACTAAATCATGAAAAATCATATAATTCTAGTGTGTAGTTAAGTAGAATTCAGATAAAGCCATAGCTTCAAATGTTTATATTAGAAAATAAGAAAGGTCTAAAAATAACCTAAGGTTCTATCTCAACAAGCCATAAAAAGAAAAGGAAATTAAGAAGGAAGAAAAGACTGAAAATAAAATATAAACAGACAATAGGAAAAGTCAAGAAAACTAAAAGCCAGGTCTTTGAAAAATAAATTAATAAAAATTATAAACCTCAATACTAATTAAGGAAAAAACAGAAAAGACCAATATTATCAACCTCAGGCATCAAAGATAGGATATTATAAATCTCAGAGGCATTAAAATAAGGGGATAAATTCAACAACTTAGATGAAATAGATGAATTCCCTGAAACATCTAAATTACCCAATCTGTGAAGAGCAAAAAATCTAAATCACAAATTGAATTAAAAAATAAAACATTCAGATATGGTATATGAATACAATGGACTACTCAATTATAAAAAACGACAGTGACCTAGCATCTTATATTTTCCTGGATAGAGCTTGATCCCATCCTCTGAAGTAAGGTATTACGAGAATGGAAGAATAGGTACCACATGTACTTGCCATCAAATTGACACTAAATGGTGAACATGAAGGTGCTCACACAGTAATATTCTTAGGGGGTTGGGGATAGGTAAACTCACAACTAATGGACAGGATGAGCACTGTAGGGGGGAAAGAGCATGCCTCAAATCATTCTTTGGGTGTGGCAAAGTCATAACATGTAACCAAAATGTTTATATCCCCATAATATCCTGAAATTA